CCAGCACCGATCCTGCCCCGGCTCCACGCAGGCTGGGGGATAGGTTTGCTTTTGGTTTTAATTCAGAAATAAAAAGTAATGGGAGAGAAGGGAAAGTGGCCCAGAAAGCAGCAGGAAACACGTGTCTGCAAGCAGCGTGGAGGCTGGCGGGCTGCAGGGCTCCACAGGAGGTCAGCTACAGCAACAGGCTGGGGCGGCAGCCGGCTTACGTTCCTCCTGCCCGACACCTCCACGGAAACCCAAAGGAAGGAGGAGATGGCGGATCCCAAGGAAAGGAGCCGTTACGGAGCCCGGGCCGGTGGCACACGGTCCCTCCCCATCCACACGTCCAAGGCTGCTGAGCTTCAGCTCCTGCCCCAGAGCTCTGCCTCGGGGAAGCCAGTCACCTCTCCCACCTCGCTGAAGGGCTGCACCCCTTGCGTGAAGGCCAGCTTGTACCTCAGGCGGATGGGATCCTGGGGGAGAAAGGAACAGAGACAGGGGCAGGTCATGGGTGCAGAGTCTTGGGCCACCTTCAGCCTCAGCTCTTGCAGCCTTGCTGCAGTGATCACCCTCTGAAAGGGGAGAGTAACACTGCATCCGTGTGGAAACTCTGCACAGAACAAGACCTGGACCTTCAGAAGATCTGTAAGGAGTGACTGGGAGAGCTGTGCAAGCCACCCCACGGCATGCTTGGCAACCCAGGTCTGGCCAGCCTCAGCGACAGAGGATTCCTGACACCAGTCATTGGTCTCATCATTATTCATCAACGATACAGAACTGCCACCCATCACCTGTGCTGCGGGCAGCCTCGTGTTCCATCAGCTGCAAACTGATATTTTGCAAACACAAAACCTGGTTTTTTTGCAAACACACACCTGCAGCATCTGCCAGGAGCCACCTCTGCAGGTGGAGTGATGCAGAGCTGGGCACACCCCTGCAGCACCTGCCCGCTCCATCCTTCACATTACAGCTCTGAAACGCTGCTTCAGTGGGAAAAATGTCTTCCCAGCACAGCCCGGGCTGCTCTGCCGCTCCCCTGCCTGTCCCCATCCTCCACACAAGTACCCCACCCACTGCAGCGACATCCGGAGCGCTGCCCCCGCTCTCACCACCCCACGTACCTTGTGCGGGTTGGCGAGGAGCAGGACCTGGGACAGCACGGCCGGGGGGAGCAGAGGGCTGAAGGCAGGCAGCTCGGAACCAGATGCTGGCTGTAACTTTATTTTCATGGTCTGCAAGACAAAATAAAAGGAGTGCTTTATGGTCCATGCTGGAAAAGGGCTGGGAGTATTACCAAGCCACATGCTGCTTAAAGACACCGCCGTCAGATTTGTCACTTAAGGAAAAGCGTGCCACAGCCTGCGCCTGAGGGCAGATCCTCCTCAAGAGACAATTCCACGCTGCACATCCACAGGCAGAACACCTGCCTTACCCAGGTAACCTTCTCCTCAGGACATTTCTGAGTAGTCCCATCTCTGCTGCTCGTCACAGGCTTCTCACCTTGGGGACAGCAGCCTGGAACGCTATGTCCTTAATGGGCTGGGCTGATGTGCTCAGCATGGACAGAACCATCACCAGCACGTCGGGTCGGCCGGGAGCCGGCTCTCTGGAGAAGTGGAGCATAGCCTTGAAACCATCCCTGTCGTACACAGTGAGAGGACAGATCCTGCCTGCGGAGACAAAAGGAGAACGAGAAACAAAGCGTGGATCCCTCCCTTCTGAGGGCAGGATAGTGAAGACAGGATAAGGAACAGCAAAAAGGGAACACGCAGGCAAACTTTTCCTTCTTCCAACAAACTCCCAGACCAAGCAGCGTACAGCACCTGCCTGTGATCCACATTTATCTCTAAGGCAAATACAGGAATCTGAACGGCTACATTAGAGATGGGGAGGCTAGCAGCTCAGGTTGTAAGAGTCAGCTAGAGATGTCAGGTATCAATCCAATCCAGGTAGGATGGGAAAAGTAAAACTTCAGCACACACAAGACCTCGCCTCTTATCACCACTGACTGGTAAATCCACACCTGGCTGTCACCATCCAGCCCTTCCAACACTCCTTCCCTTGGGAGACTGAAGTCGGAAGACAATCGAGTCTGAATGTCTCTGTACCCATCCCCTCCCGAAAGCAGCGCTGGCCCAGGCTCTGCAGCCCCCGCAGCGGGACGTAGCCTGCTCCGAGACACGCGGTGCCACGCACCCAGGCAACGCTCCATCCAGCGGCCGCAGCGCCGGCCACACGGCGTTGGGTCAAAAAGCAGAGGGGAAGGCACAGCGCTGCGTCAGGAAGTGGGACAGCTCCCACCACAGATATCTTCTAAACCTTTGGAAAAGAACTGCTTGAAGCTTGGTTAAAGGTGCTAAGAGCATGGTGCAGTCCCTAGCACTTGCTCAGATTCACACGTACATCAAGTCCTTCACAGAATAGTCATTGCTTTTCTCCAGCCAACCCGCACAGCGTGAACCACTGGGGCTTGCTCCTCTGCAACAATCACAGAAGAGCTCTAGTAAACCTCTAGTAAGCAGAGCTGGGGCACAGAAATCATTGCACTTACTCGGTGTAATTGAAATTAAAGGGACAAAAAGGTTTTCTAGAGAAGCATCACGGGAAGCTGGATGCAAAGAGGCAGCAGGCTTCGGCTCGTACCCTAGGCTGGAGAAGGAGGTGTCTACCATCGAGCTATTTGGAAGATCTGCAAAGGGCAATTTCATTGGTGATAAATCCCTGGAAAGAAAAGCACGTAGAAAGCTGAAATTAACTGGGGACACTACATGGTACCTACCATCTTCTGCTGTGTCCCCTCGTGTTCCCAATCCCTCAGCCCTGTTAGGTGTAAAGAAAGCACAAGCTTACACTCTCTGAGTTCTTGAGAAATTCAGAAGCTCTCCATTTGCTAGGGAAGAAGCTGCTGTTCCAGCATCCGTTAAGGTGAACTTTGATTTCTGTTACTATCGTGAAACTTGTTTCAGGGCTTCAAAGTCCCCTCTCCCTGCACTCGGGCTCTCTGGAGCTGTAGTCACCGAGATTAAGGCACACTCTAGCTCAAAGGCAACGCAGGAGGCTGGGAATCACCAGTAAACTTTCTTGGCTGGTCTTACGGCAGCCTGGGTAAGTGTATCGTAACGGTTGCCTCTCTGAACATCTCTGGGTGATTGATTTGGTTCACAAACTGTTGGCTTCCCCTGAATGCCTCAAAACTACTTTGTCACAGCTGGAGGAAAGCTGGGGAATGCATTTTTTGAGTCACAGGTTTTTATAAAAACACCTGAGTGTAAGGTTTTTGTTCCTTCAGCTCCAGATCACCTTGTTCCTAAGCCCTGGGGTTTGTCTCCCCGAGTTTCTGGCCCCTGCAAGGTCCCAGTTTGCAGCTCCACAAAGGGCAAAGCCGCTGCTCAACGGCCAACAGGCGAAGGGATAGCTCACCATCCTAACCAGGGGCAGCCGAAAGCTTTTCCTAAAACTCCCCGCTGTAGAGCAGTGCTCCTCATCTCCAAAGTCAGCCCGTGTCACCCAGAGTTCACTTACAGGGATAAAGTCTTGGTCCCGCGGGGTGGAGAGCGCGGAGCAGCCCGGCCCTGCAATCCCTTCCCCTCCGTGCAGCCGTCGTCCCCGCTGTCCTGCAGTCCCAGCGTCCCAACAGCACTTGCAATCGCACTGTACCCGTTGGGTACAGCCCGCTGAAAAATAACGCATCTCTGGTTCATGCTAGAGAACAGCAGCAAAGCTCAGACCTGCTGCACTGAAAAGAGCCTTGTTTTTAATAACGCTGCTTAAAGTGGAAATAAATACGAGTCATCTGGTTGTGAACTGCAACTGAGAAGTTCATTGCAGAGCAGGAGGATTCCCGTTTCCCTTCAGAACAGAGTGGTGCAAAAAAAGGCTGCCAGGGACAGCTAGATCAGAAATAACATCTGATTTTTGTCCTTTGTACCTAATGGTCTAAACTATCTGAGCATCACTCACCTCTGCTGAGCTGAGATCGGGTGGTGGCTTCTGTACAACAGGAGAGCTGCTGAGACCTAGGAAAGACGCCAAAACGCCACAGATCAGTTACAGAAAAGCAGGGTTGGGTTCTAACAGCAGTTCGACCGCAGTCCAACACCATCAGAGAAAAAACTCCTGACACTTCCCCTGGCTGGAAGGGTCTCCTTCCTCTTAGGACCAACATTAAAGTTCTCCTCTTCATTAAATGCCACGAGCCCCTGCGGCACGGGTGGCACCGTCCCGACCTGCACGGACAAACCTAGCGGCTCCAGCTCCTCGTCCAGCAGGCAGGGGGAGGCGGTGCTGCCGTGCCGGCAGGCGGTGGTTACGTTCACAAACTGGTCCGTGGGAGCCTTGGATGTCGCCTCCAGCTCCGAGAAGTCGATCAGCGTGTAGCTCTTTGTGCGCTTCGGGGCTGGCCAGCAGGCTGTGGGAAGAGCAGAGAGAGTTAAAGAGAAACCTCCGGAGAGGAGCAGCGCATTGACGGGTGCAGGCAGGGCTGAAAGGACCCGCAGGTGAGGAACTGCAGGAATATTTTCTGTCAACCACACATAAAAGCAAATGATGGTGACATAGCGGTTTTCCTGGGTTACAGGATTTTCTCCACGTTTACTCTCCAAGCAGCGCTCCCCTTCCAAAGCCGCTCAGCCGCGAGACGCGGGAGCAGAGCTGTGGCGGACGCTGCAGGATGCTCCTCACCAGGCGCGTCCCCGGAGCCGGCGGCTGAACCCTCCCCGTGACCGTCCTCACGGCCGGCTGCAGCCTGCCTGTACCGCCCGAGCGCCTGCGTCAGCTTCTCGTTGGCCTGCAGCAGCTCAGCTGGAAAACAAGAGAAAAAAGGAAATCGGAGTGTTCCAGCAGGAAGGCTGGCTCCCCGGCACTCTCCAGACTGCGCAGGGGAAGGGACCTCCTGCCTTCAGCTCCCCACCAGTTCTTCATCCCGTTCCCTGAAGTCCAGCGTTTTGCACGGGCACCCGCTGATTTCAGGGCTCTCTCATTTATCACGATTACTTTGAAATCTGATCCTGTCTCAGTGCTTACGGCTCCCCCCCGCTCTTTCGCCCCGTGCTTACGGCTCCTGCCATCTCTTACGCACTTTGTTGTTCTCTGCGAGTTTTCCGAGAGTCCTTGAGTCCCCAGCCCAGCCCTCCCCGCTGAAGAGCCGCAGCGTTCGTGGGTATGAGGGAAACGCCGGAGGCAGGGCTGAGCCCCTGTGGTTGCTGTTGAGGATGTCTCTGCAGCGAGGCATTGCTTCAGCCAGGCTTTCAAGGCATCCGGACAAGACTGAATTGCAATCCTCTGGGAAGGGCTGAATCCCACAGCTGTGCCATTCACAGATCCTGCTTGTGGGACCCCCCTTGGTATTATACTCAGGAAATTTAAAAAAAAAATCCCTTCTGTGTTTATAGACAGGGAGAACTTCAACCTCTGTAGAGGAAAGACCTCAAGAGCCTTCAGTTCTGTGAACACCAGAGCTCCCCAGGCTCCCAAAATGACCTGGGCTGGAAGAAACTGGATTCGCTGTTTCATCTGGGGCTCCAAGGGAAAATTTATGGCTTCCCTGGAGAGGAGTGGAAGGAAAATGATGCCTGTTCCCATGGGCATGGCTCAGATGAAGCGTTGCCAGCAGGGCAGCACGTGCCCAAGCACCCCCCAGAGGAAGGGCAGACCCAGGTGTCACAGCAAAGGCGGACGAACCGAACCACACAGAAACCCACGAGCAGCGCTGGCTCTCACCTAGAGCCTCATCGTCATCGACCGTCTCACTGGCGAGGCGGAAGAGCAGCGGCCGGAGCTTCTCGCAGCGCTGAACCACCGTCTGTGGGAGGAAAAGGTTCGTGCCACCGGGAGATCCCAGGCAGTGCCACACCTCCCTGCCTCCGTCCCCACCCAGAGTGATGCTGCCTCCAGAAGGGGAAGGTGCCAGGGCCAAAGGGTGCCAACGCCGCGTGCTGCTGTGCCCCCACAGTGCCCTGAGGCGCGGGCGCTGGAGCAGGGGAGCTGTGCTGGTATCTCCCCAGCAGTCACATCCTCTCTGCACACAGAGGGACGATACATCACATGCAGTGACTCTGTTTGAAGGAAAAACTGCCCAGGGGTGAACAGAGCCATCGCAGGACTCAGAGGGAGGTGTCACAACCCCCGGCTGCAGCTACCGTCAGACGACGCAGAGCCGCTGGCGGCGCTTGTCGTTTTTCTGACGGCTCTTGTGGGGGTTTTCAGGAGCGAGGAGGCACGGAGGCAGCCACTGGGTCTCTGCCATCTGCAGCAGCCCTCCCCAGGGGAGCCAGCCCCAAACTCTGCCCCACGCACAGCCACAGGAGGAGTTCTGACCTGCAGAAATCCAGTTGTCTAAAGGGGTTTTTAATTTGAGGGTCTGTAGGCATCCTAGGGGAGTGTCAGATATTTGGAGGCCATAAAGCTGTTCTGGCACCAAACATCTCCTCAGCTCTCTGATCCTTCTGAGCAGCAGCACAGACCTCTGGGCAGAAGGGGAATCCCAGCAAGCAGAGCACAAGGCAAAGAACCCACAGCTCTGGGCTCTCTGGCCAGCTCCCGTCACCCCACCTCCCCATGCCGGGCTCAGGGCATTCCCAATGAACCATTTCCCCACAGGAGACCACAAGGAGAGCAGCTAAACTGCGCAGAAACTCAAACCGGCGCAGCGGGAGACGGCTCCACTCCAACTCCCATCACGCTGATGGGAAGGACCATCGCTCATCAATACATTGGAAACACTTTCT